TGATCATGATCATGATCATGATGTGAGTGTTTGCCATGGGCCAAGCTACTCTGCAAAGTGCTTGACATTAACCCATTTGTTCCTTACCACAATTCTATAAGGCTGGCAATATTATTACAGCTAAGAAAACAAGATCAGAGAGGTAAAGCAACTTGTTCAAGCGTATACAGATAATTAAAAGTGGAGGAGAATTTGAAACCAGGTCTGTCTGATTCTAACCTCCTGGCTCTTTCTACTACTTCAAGTCAGATGAATGAGCAGATAGTCCTGTCCTCACATTATCTGGGGCTGCTGAGGATCCAGGAAGCAGTAAATCTGGGGCACAGCAATTTGCTCAGGAGATAGAAAATGTGAGGCAGGACACCTGGCCCAATGCAGCATAAACAATGTGTTACTACCCTGCCTGCCCAATCACTCTCGCGGAGGAGGAAGCCCCAGAAATAAGCTTATTTCACAATCCCCCACTCCCCCACTCCCCCACCTCCACCCCACCCCAACATGATTTTTGGGTGTGAATGGAAACTAGACTGTCTGGCTGTCACAAGCTTATGACCTCACAGTAACCAGCTGGAGAACACAGACACCATCCATGATTCCCTTGAATCGACCTGACTCAACAAAACAGTTACAAATTTCTCCAAGTGAGGCAAAACAAAGAGCTATTCTACTCTAAAAAGAGTAGTGCAGAATGGTGTAAAAGGAATTGAGAATGCTTGTTAATACAATTATAAAACATCATGGTTTTATTTCTAGGAATTGTGAAATTAATTAATTACAGATCTTTTTAGGTCAAACTACTCCCAGAGGTAGACCAAGAGATGAATCAGACCTAGTTTCTGACCTGGTAACAGCTCCAAAATCAACTTTGACTCTCTGGGATAGAAGCTGTGATCACAGAACATACAAAAGACTACGAAAAATAACCAGGACTGAAAATGTGGTATATACACACAATGGAATATTACTTAGCCTTAAAAAGGAAGGAAATTCTGACACATGACACATAGGTAAACCCTGAAGACATTATGCTAAGCGAAATAAGCCAGTCACAAAAGACAAATACTGTATATGAGTCCACTTATATGAAGCACCTAGAGTGGTCAAATTCATAGAGACAGAAAGTAGAATGATTGTTGCCAGGGGCTGGGGAGAGTGGGGATTGGGGAATTATTGTTTAATGGGTATGAAGCTTCAGTTTTGCAAAATGAAGAGTTCTATGGATGGATCATGGTGACAGTTGAAGAACAATGTAAATGTATTAATGCTACTGAACTGTACACTTTAAAATGGTTAAGATGGTATGTTATGTGTATTTTACCACAATTAAAAAAAAAACAACTAGGGCTGCTACTGAAAGTGGGCAGTGGTGCTAGTAAGGGCTACACTCAGTCACAGTCTGTACATTGTAGATGGTTGATAAATAACTGTTGCTTGAATAAATAATGAGTTGGCCAATGAATGCGTGGAAAGCTGGAGTCTCCTGGCTTCCTCAAATTGCCCTCCCCAAAGCACTGATCAGATTTTGGCTTCAAGGCCAGCAATATTCTTTAAATTCAGGTTGTTGTGGCTCAGGGGCCCAGGTGTTCCTGAGCAGACCAAGGCCCACTTGACCAAAGACATGGGCAGAAATAACAGAGTCTTGGATTTCTCAGGGTTGGAAAGCACTCCAAGGTGGTGCAATCTATCCCTTTATCCCATGTTGGAGTCTCTTCTCCCATATTCCTGCCTGGTCTAATCTCTTGGCATCCTGAGCCCTAGCAGAAGGCCTGTCTCTAAGTCTCAGCAATATTTGCTAAGAGTATTGGAAAACAACAAATGCGTTAACTCCTGGTGACTCACCCAGTACTATCACAAGCTATCCTAGTCTTCCTATGAACCCCCAAGACAGGAACCTGGGGAAACAGCAAACTGCTTGTCTATAGTCAGGATCAGCAAGGTCACATTCTGTTGGATAGTTTTCAGAATGACTCCTCTGAAAGAGACAGTTGGATAGAGTGGCTCCTCTGAAAAGGAAAGCCATTCTCAATGTCAATTACCTAGGGAAGAGGTAGATCCTCATGTAAGATACCCTGTGGTATAGGGGAGGGGCAGCATCATTTTTGTCAGGAACACAGGCTTTAGGTCTAGGCATCTGGAGGACTGTACTGTCCAGATGTGGATTCTAGGTGGTGGGTGTTAAGATGACACCCAGTATACAGAGGTAGGCTGAGAGTTAGATGAGGCAGGGTCTGAAAACCCTGGAAAGCAGGCAGCCTGATAACTCAGATCAACCTCATTCAACTACTCACAGTTTATTTTCCTGTTATTCATCCTCAACCCTTTAATAAAGTCCGACGTGACTGTTTGATTCTGTGCTAAGAGGTACAGGGAGGTATGTGGGTTTATCCTTGGGACAGACTGTTATTGTGGAGTGGTGGGGGTATCCCACCACTGGTGGATGAGATCCCATAAAAGGAAGGAGAGTATGAGGGGTCAGGAGCTAGTGTTTGAGGCACTCTCCACCCTAACGAGAAATTCTCCCACCAGGTCTCTTGGTGAAGCTGGAATTTATCATTATTAGGGAATTATCTTATGAGGGATTATCACTTATAATCACTGCAGCACCCAATAATTCTTCCCAAGAGCACGGAAAGTGGCCCAGCTCAAACTGCATCTTAGGGAGGCCAATTTAATAATTCTATCTCCCAGAGGAGAAGCTAACTTGTGGATCAATTCTGAGCTCAGGAAAGGGATTCTGTAGATTGGTTATTAGGGAGCCCCACCTGAGGGAATAAAGGCTATGCTTAAACTGGCAGCTGATAATAACCTTGAGATAAAGTTGTTAACAACCTGGGAAAATCAGAGAATTGGTCCTGTAAAAACAGAACGAGAAGAAAAAGAAATCACTAGAGGGATTCTCTGAAAAGCTGGCTGTGCCACAGAAGCAGTCTCAGTGAACAGCTGTTGTTGAAAGTGAAGTTAGTAATTAGACAATCTCTGCTGTTGAAAGCGAAGTTACTAATTAGACAATCTCTGATGTTGAAAGCGAAGTTACTAATTAGACAATCTAGGGTCTGGAAATCTCTTCGGGGAGTGAACTGGTTAAAGGAAGAGCTGAAGTCTACACAAATAGATGAGACAGTGAAATGTTGCTAAAACATAAGACAGCTGTTCAGAAAAGAATCTAATAGGCTGTCTATAAAGTGACCCAATACACTGTTTTCAATTTGATCCATTACAGGAAAAATAAAAATAGTCCCAGGATACTGAGAAACAAAGTCCTAGACCTAAAACTGTACTTGATTAATGTTACCCAAGAATAATAGCTGAGTCTCCTGCTTAACGTGAATTGCCCTAAGCCTACCAGCCCGTGGCATGAATGAGATCACAGTAGCAGTGACATACAAATTCGTACAGCCAATAGGCCCCCACCTGCAAAACTGCCTCAGACTCAGCAAGAGTTCCTGAGGTGCCTCATATGAAGTCAGTGCCAAGCTTTCATGTACTTCTCAACTGGTCTCCATTGATATCTGCTGCCTAAAAGCTAGGACTGGTATCTGGATGCTCCAAGAGAACCTGCTTCCCTGACATTCTCCTAGGGTTTCTCTCCAATCTGCCAAACCTCTTGCTACCTCAGAAGTAGCAAGAACTTCTGAATGCCTTTCAGTCCCCACTCATCAGACAGAACCACACTTATTTCAGCACAGAACTGGGGAAATGTCTATTAAACTTGGAAATATTCCCTCTTATGGCTGGGTCTAATAGGATGATACTCAGATGGGAAGCACTTCTGTGTTGTTCACACAATTACAAAAAGAATGTATTACTTTTACAAACAGCAAAACAACAGACATTTTGAAAAAAAAGATATAAGGATATTGAGTTGGGTTTCTTACACTGGCTGTTACTTTACCTATATTTTAAGCTTGAAGAATCTCTGCATGGTCTCCACTTGGTCCTCTTGCAGCATTTCCTATCTCAGTGAAGGATCCAAGGAGTTGCTTGAGTTAGAAATGTCAGCTTTGATACCTACCTTTCTTTCCTTCATGTTTTTTCCTTCAGTCTCCAGAACTAATCTATATCCAAGTCCTGTCAACCTTACCTCCAGAATACCTCTCCGATAGTCCATTTCTCTCACTTTTCACCATCTCTACCCTAATCCAAGCTACCTTCATCTTGCCCAGACTACTGCAATTGTCTCTTAAAGACTAAGTGGGTCACTCTGATCTGTGGACCCCTCTCCAATCTGTTCTCTATCCAAGCAGCCAGAATGATCTTTTCAAAGTGCAAATCTGATGATGTCATTTTCTATCTTAGCCCCCTAGTATTTTTAGTATAAAAATCACAATCTTTCATTTGGCCTCTACAGCTTTTTCTAGCCTAGCCTTTGATTATTCCTCCATACACTTCCACTATAATTCAGCCCTACAACCACATGAGCCTAGTTCCTTAAAATGCTCACCCTTTCTCCCACTACAGGCCTCTTACACATGCTATTTCCTCTACCTGGTATACATTTCACTTTTCACTTCATCTGGTTAACTCTACTCATTGTTCAGGTCAGCTCAATAGTTACATCTTCAGGGAAGCCATCTTTGAGCCCCAAGACTAGGTCAAATGACATGATTATATTTGTTCATAGTATCATGAACCTCCCCTTCATAATATTTATTAAAGTTATAATTTTAATAATATAATATCATAAAGTATCATATATAATTTATTTGTGTTTTTATTACTTTAATACCCATCTCTGTCACTAGACAGAGGCATTAAATAAGTATCTGTTGAGTGACTCTTAACTTCCTGTGGGGTAAAGTGATTCTTATAATAGCTTAGAGTTAAAAATTCCAGGGTACATCTGAGATCGGTTTTCCAAATTTTAAGGAAGGAACCTCCATACATACCACTCACATCCTGAAGGATTTTGTATGGCTTATCTCTTCCATCAAACAAGTGATGCTATCCTGAACTCTTTGGAGGTGGCAGGAGGCAGTATTAAGGAGCCCAAGTGAACTCACCCCTATGGTAGATGCCATGTAGTCTGCACACATTTCTGCAAAGTCCCGCTCAAGAACACCATAGTAGAGGCCATAGAAGAGGAGAGAAATGCCAAAGTCCATGGCATCTTCTGGTTTGATCCTGTAAGGGAAGCAGCATGGCCTGTAAGGCCTGCCCTGAGATGCAACTGCTTTGGATTACTACTCTGGGACACAAATGGCAGCGTCTAAAGCTGGAAGCTTTAATAGCTGGAGCAAGTGTTGGCAAACTAAAACCAAATCCAGCCTGTTGCCTGTCTGTATATGACCTGTGGGCACCACCTGAACAGCCTAGGACTGGGAGCTGTGAAGACCAAGCCAGGGTATCCCTTTCTGCTCACTTCCCCACTCTGTTTCCAGTGCCTGCCTCCTCTGACTGATGACCATGCTTGCAGCTCCCTAGTTGGCACCTATATGTTGGGGACTCCACTACTGGCAACTGCTACACACTAAGCAGTGGAATTTTCAGTCCGGAAGTTAGCAACTCACTATTGAATTGCCTCACCTCCAGCCAGTTGCCCAAGTTGAAATAGCTGAGCCCTTCAAAAGGAGGGAAGGGCACAGCAGGATCTGGGTGTCACTGGAGCAGAGAGCGAAAATGATCCCAGGGGTCACCCACCTCCATCAGGCCCCTCCTTCTAAGAATGTTTCATATGATGGCAAGTGGGCACAAAGTATGTCCACCATCTGAGACAGGCCACCCAGGCAAACAGGATGGAGCAAGGGAGGAGTTTTCTCTCGTTATATAAGTACCTATATACCATCCTAGAGTTTGCCTTTTGTCCCACAAAGCCTAAAATATTTATTATTTGGCCCTTTATAAAGAAGTTTGCCAACCACATCTTTAGAAAACAAAGATAAAGTTAGTAAATATACACATACCAGTTACCATAAAATTTTAACTTGCATCTATACGTATTCTGTATCATGTCATCAAAGTTAAATTTTGGTCCAAGTCTCCTTACTAAGGACAATAGGCCTATAATATTAGGAAGTTTGTTTTAGTAATTCCAGGGACCAACAGTTTGCAAACTTGAGTCTTTAAATGTTTATTACAGAAAACTACCTTTGTTAAAACATTTGTACCAAGAATTGTACGTGTTCACTTAAAGTTGTAAATTACATTTAGCTTAGAAAGTTGAATTTGCCCACCAATCTTATAACATTTAACCTACTAACTAGACGTCATGATCTTACACCAATTAACCTGATTAGTAGCATAAAAATGGTCAAGATTCTCAATTATGTTTTCCTCCTTATACAGTTTATCAAAGTAAAAAAGAAACTGTAATTCTAGAATAAATACCTTTAAAACATAATAGAGAATCTTGGTTTTTACTTTTTTTAACCATCCAGGTTAGGAAGATATCTGGAAGTACCTTGGTTTTCTTTGATGAGATGTGTTGACTCTACACTGATAAATTCCTGTAAATATTTGTGGAGCCTGTTTATTCTTTCAGCCTGTACTACCCCTGGAAGAAAGAATTCCATGGGTGTCCTCTCATTATATAAAGTAGGACTTATTCCTTTCAGTTTCAGAGATTCCTGCCTACAGTATACCTGGTTTGGGGAAGAGGCCAGTGGTCATGAATTGAAATTTGAATCCTAAATCTCTAGCTTCAATGCATTGTTCCAATCCACAACCTACAGCTGTGGAAACCACATTTCTACCCTTTTCTGCCCTGCTTACTCACTGTACCCTCCAGTCCCAGAGTCCAGGATTACTTGGCTTCTGCCTTAACTGGGGGTGGAGGAAACCTGTATGCTGATACAGACCTTTTGGAAAGCTTATGACAATATGAAGCAACAGCCAGAATTCCACTCCTGGTCATGTACCCTTAGGAAGCAACTCTGCAATGTTATCTGTGACAGCGCTGCACTGAAAAAACAACCTACGTGACCAACAACGGAGCAGGACTTAAAAGTCCACAGGTTAACTCTGTTTCCTGAGAAATCTCTTAAAGGTGGAATGTCAGCTGTGTCACAAAGTAGTAATGCTTATATATTAAACCTGACCTGCGATTAGAACACTGCATCTGGACCGGGAGAGTTTTAAACCTGATGTGTTCCTTGGAGAAGTAGGTCTTCTGGGCCTGGCTGGCTCCCACACTCATCTGTGTGGTCTCACTCCCTCATATCTCAGCCCTGGGACTATTGTGAGGACTCCTGCAGACGCTGCCCTGCTATTTCCTGTCTTGTATCTTTCTAGGTGGATCTGTTGCCAGGTGTGGCCAGCTGTGTCCCATGAGTTCAACTGTCTAGTCCAGGGTCGGCAAACTTTTTCTGTAAAGGTCCAGATTGTAAGTATTTTAGGTTTTGTGGCCCATATAGTCTCTGCCACGATTATCCAACTCTGCTGTTTTACTGCAAAAACAGCCATAGATAATGTGTAAACAAATGAATATGAGTGTTCCAGTAAAATATTTTTATTTTATAAAAGCAGAAGGTAGGCCAACTTGGCCCACAGGATGTAGTTTGCCAACTCCTACTCTCCTTGAACATAAGACCACTCAGAGTGGATGTTACAGTAAACAATACACACATGGAAAAGGAAAATGGTTCTGTTGGGGTGATGGAGTTATGAGTAACTGGCTATAATCATTATTATGCTTACTTTTGTTATTATACTTTCCCACTAAAATATAAATTCTTGGAAAGTACAACCAATGATTTGAGACTCTAACTCTGTATTATCCAGACATTCCTTTCTCTTTGCCAGCACAAATCATGGAAGGCCCACCCATCCTCCCATCCTCCAAAGCCAAGTCTCCTATCCTAGGTGCCATGTTCCCCTTGTTCATACTCAGGACCTGTCCCAGGAACAAAGGTACATCTCACCAGTCCCTCCTGCCCAGACACTAGCAAAAACAAAAGCAAAGGGTACTCACTTGAATAACAAGTTAAGACCAAAGAGGGTAAACATGACAGCCATGTAGCCAATGATGCCAGTGGCATAGCTGATTTTATAGATCAGCAGGAACCACTTATAAACCAACCTGGAGAAAGGAGAAAAAATTAGTAAAGCTGACACAGAAAGACTGGCCTAAGAGCCTCTGGATCACCAGAATCCCTTACTCTCACATCAATGGGGACATCAGGCTCTTTGCTTAGGACTTTTATTTAGCAAGGCTGGTCACTCCCTCAATTGCAGAAACACCTCCACATACCAGGGAGCTAGTGCTTTGTATTTTCCTGGTCTCAGACCAAGGGAAGAAAAGAGAAGTTTCAACCTCAAACAAAGAAAGTACACAGCTGACCTCAGATAAGTATGTCATCTCAAATTCAGGTTAGTTGGATGAGGAAGTGAAAATTAGTAACTACAGCTGTGCTCAGAAAGAAACAGGTATTCTTATCAGGAAAGAGGATTCAAGGGAAGATGAATAGAAGGTAGAATTAGCTACAGGCTTTTGTAACTGGGCAGGGTTAATGTGAATACTGCTTCACTCCTACCCATAGGCTAATAACAAAATGAAATATATCTAATGAGTTTGCTTCTGAATTTATTTTTTTTCCTGAAGGAGAAGGGATAAGGAAGGAGGCACTCAACGAATACCCTTGAATTGGATGTGTGTGCGTGATGGGGGCGGGGTGCGGTAGAATGGGGCTGTGCGATTCTCCTGAAGGAGGAGCCATGCTCCCTAGGATCCAATGAAAAGCAGTGTGGAATCTGGTTGATTGACTGCAACTAGGATCAGAGAGGAAAGATGGTTCCCAGAATGTACCAGAGCCTTTTAAATGTTATGGAGGTAGGTCCCTGATATCAGGAGCCACTGTTCTACCTGTGAGGAGAGCTAAGGAGTAACTTAGCAATCTGCCTGGCTCCTGAGAGCTGAGTAGGTTACTGCCAACCCTGCTGGGCCTCAGGGAGAATGCTCAAGGTCCCTGCCTGGGCCTCCCTGCTGTGGCTAAACAAGGGGCGATGGCTTCTCAGGCTGGCGGAGGGACCTGAACACCTTGCAGTGTCTGCCCTCAAAGACCACAGAGAGCTCCATTATCCAGGGTTTGTACTGATCAGATGGGACTGAGACACAGTGGAAAGGATGTGGCATTTTAGGTGGAACCTGGATTAAGTGAGGTTTAGTAGCTGGGTAACCCCAGATAAGTCATATCAACCTGAGACAAGTTTACTTATTTCTAAAACAGGAACCCCCTGCCACCTTTCTCATTGGATTGTACATAGTGTATATAATTTCCTGGTGTATATAATACATGCCCAATAAATGCTGCATGAATAAATGGGTGTTTATGAAATAAGTGGGTGTTTATGAAAGTACTTTGAAATTGTAAAGCAATATCAAATGCTAGTTGTTACTGTTATCAAAAACCTCCCATGTTATAGACACATTTTCAGTCATTTTAGCTAGATGTTGAAAATGTTACTCGATGACTCTTAACATGCTTTATTATACTTTTTCTTACCCTATATGAGGTAGCAATTATTATCAGAGGTAGCAATTATTATCACATTTTTAGGGATAAAGAATTCAAGGCTAAGAAACGTGCAGTCATAGGGGTCATATAATTAACAACTGGCAGGGCTGGGGTTTCCAATCCATATCCATCTGGCTCCAGAGTCTGTATATTCTATACTGGCTTTTAATGTAAACTACCACAGCCAGAGAGGGGCTTCTAGATCACTGACCTCACCTTGCAGATAAATTTTACTTTGTAGAATGAAACTCAGAAAGCCAAAGAAAGGTTTGTAGTAAGGTGGAACATAAGAGGTATGGGAAAAAGAGCAAGTTGCAACTTGGAAAACTTTGGATCGGATAGTCACAACTCTTGAGGCTGGCCGGTTCTTCTCTTAGGCTCTCCTGAACCTGTACACACGTGTCTCACAGTACTTACCAACTGCACTAAAACAGCTGCTTTCTTGTCCATTTCCTCCATTAAACCAAGTACTCCTTGAGAACAGGGACCATGTCTTTTCCAGCTCTGTATCCCCAGTGCTCAGCACAGGGCCTGACACATAGCAGGTGCTTGTTGAATGAATGAATGAATAAATGAGAAAATCTCTTTTTTTTTCTGTCAAGTATAGATATTAAATGACCTCACAAGCTGGTTGGGAGGATCAAATGAGAAATGCATTTGGAAATACAAAGAATTATACAGGGGACTTCCCTGGTGGCGCAGTGGTTAAGCATCTGCCTGCCAATGCAGGGGACATGCGTTTCAGCCCTGGTCCGGGAAGATCCCACATGCCGCTGAGCAACTAAGCCCGCGCGCCACAACTACTGAGTGTGCGCTCTAGAGCCCACGCGCCACAACTACTGAAGCCCGCGTGCCTAGAGCCCATGCTCCGCAACAAGAGAAGCCACCGCAATGAGAAACCCATGCACCGCAACGAAGAGTAGCCCCCACTCGCCGCAACTAGAGAAAGCCCGCGCGCGGCAGCGAAGACACAATGTAGCCAAAAATAAATAAATAAATAAATAAATAAATTAATTAAAAAAGAAAAAAGATGTATACAGGCAGGGGCTGCTTTGTGACCAAAGAAGGAAGTATTGTTTGCTGGAAAATTGTAAATTTGCTGAGATTCATTCACTCAACAAAAATTCAGACAATAGGCTATGTGCCAGACCCCGTGGTAGGGCCTGGATATACAGTGACAAACAAAATGGATATGGTTCCTGATCTCATAGTTAGTTTAGTGGGGGAGACAGACACTCAAAATAATATTTAGTTATAAACTACGATAAGTTTTATGAAGGAAAACTACAGGGCACTAGGAGAGAATGTGACAGAAAATCTAATTTAGAGATCAGAGAAGAGGTTACAGAAGAAAATGACAGTTATAATGAGACCACAATGACCAGGATTTGCTTACTTATTTTGTTAGCTTTTAATATAAACGGACCTTGATGTAAACTGTAAGGTAAGCTATAGGGAAAGACTTGGAGGTTTTTATTCTGTGAATGGGGCAGGAGGTCTCCCAATCAGCTCGTTTTGGTGGGGCTTTGTGCCAAGTAATCTTGGCAGACAAAAACTAATTTTTTCAGTCTAACCCACTAGCCTCCCGTGCATCCCAACCCGTTAGTTCAGGAAGCCTAGCTCCTTCCCACTACCCACTCCTAAATTCTCACCTTGGGGTTGTCTGTACTAGTGGTTTTCGGGTGGCTCGGAAGGTGACAAAGGCTGTGACGGCAGAGAACAAGATCCAGATCACTAGGAACCTCCACCAGTGCAGCTTTACTGTGAAATAGAGGGGAACAACCCACATCTGAAAGAGGGTCACCATCTGAAACACAAACACAAGCACTTCAGCTCTAGCCGGCTCCCTCTGCAGCTCTATCTGCAAATCCAGAGCGCATCTTGTGTGTTCCATTTTAGCCTGATCCTCTCCTACATTTCCAATTTTGGATAAAGGCACATCCTAGTGACCCAAGTTAGAAATCTGGGACCGTGCTTGACACCAACCTTTTACTCCCCCACCCGACTGTTTATTGTACATATTCTTTCCTTTACATTTGAGCCCTTGCTACCCCTTACCTGGCTGACTATGACCTCTTTGTTAAGTCTCCTTGCATTCAGCGTCTCCCCCTCCAATCTATCCTTCCCAGGAGCACACAGTCTTGAAGTATGTCATCCCCCTGCTTAGAACCCTCTAAGGGTCCCCAGTCTACAGGATAAGATTCAACATGCTTAGACCCAACATCCTTAGACAGGCAGTCAAATCCCCCACAATGGAGCCCCAAACTACTACTTCAAGGACCACCTCCTACCATTCCCCATGCCTGTAGTCAGGCTGTTCCCCTCAGGGCAAAATTATCCTTCCCATCTGTCTTTTGGCCTGAGGGTATCACATCCAAGACACACAAAACCTTCAGTCTCCCTTCTAGGCAGAATAAATCATGACTTCCTATTGCTCCAAACGCATTTTCTTTTCTACCATCATTACAGTGCTTACCTAGAGTATGAGACTGGATTCGAATTCGTTCTCTAGCTTACTGTAACCTCCTTGAGAGCAGTGACAAGGCCACACTCATCTGATTCCTCTGTGCTAGGAAACTGTCTGGCCCATGACAGGTCCTCGGTGAATTTAGATAAATGAGGGGAAAGCAAGACTAGAACCCTAAGAGGGAAGCACATTTGTTTTAAAGAGCATCTATTTTACTTTCCCTCCTTCATATCTTTACCTCAGACTTGTTAGCTACAGAGTTCCAAATGTATAAAACAATTCTAAGTCAGAAGTTTGGACCAATCACGAGTCTTCTGCTCCCCAATGTCTCCTAACTCCCTCCCGCAACCACCCAGTTTTTACTAGATGTCACTCTTCTCAGGTGAATAGCAGGTGTAAAAACAGATAATTAGCACTTAATAGAGGCTTTCTTCTTGGTATCATTAAATGAAATGAAAGAATTTTTTTTAAAAAAAGGGGGGGTGGCTATAGAGAGGAAAATATTAGCTAGTTTCCTAAAGTTCCACAGAAGAGAAAGCTTTTTTTTTTTTTTTTTTTTTTTGGTACGTGGGCCTCTCACTGTTGTGGCCTCTCCCGTCGCGGAGCACAGGCTCCGGACGCGCAGGCTCAGTGGCCATGGCTCACGGGGCCCAGCCGCTCCGCGGCATGTGGGATCTTCCCGGACCGGGGCACGAACCCATGTCCCCTGCATCGGCAGGCGGACTCTCAACCACTGCGCCACCAGGGAAGCCCCCAGAAGAGAAAACTTTTGAGAAACTATTTACTCTTGGGGATTTCTAGACTAGGCTGCCCAGTCCAAATATAATGTGAGTCTCATATGTAAGTTTAAGTTTTCTAGGGGGGAAAGCAGGGAGGAGGCGGGGAGTCGTGGTGGGATGAATTGGGAGATTGACATATATACACTAATATGTATAAAATAGATAACTAGTAAGAACCTGCTGTATAAAAATAAATAAATAAAGTTAAAAAAGAAATAAATGATGGAGAGGGTGTGGAGAAAAGGGAACCCTACTACACTGTTGGTGGGAATATAAACTGGTAAAGCCACTATAAAAAAATAAATAAGTTTTCTAGTACCTATGTTAAAAAAAAAGTAAAAAGAAACAGATGATCTTAATTTTAATAATATATTTTATTTAACCCAATATATCTAAAATATTACCGTTTCAAGATGTAGTCAATATAAAACTATCTATGAAATATTTTACTTTTTTTTTGTACTACAGCTTTAAAATCCGATGTTTATTTTATATTTACAGAATATCTCAAAAGAGACCAGTCACATTTCCAGTGTTCAGCTGTCACATGGGACTGGTGGTTACAACACTGGATAGTGCAGCTTAAAGCATCTTTTTAGTGTTAAGCTGTCTGTAGCTACTACTCTCTCATAGACTGCTCTGTGGCAAGAAAAAGCGTTAGTTTTTTAGTGTTATTTTACATATTAAAAAAAGAGAGACAGTGGAAGAAAATGGTAAGCAGCCACTTTGCTTTAGAGCTTCCAGCGCTGTGTGCCCACTGGTCAGCGAACAATGTAGCCTCAGTACCAATTCCACTGTACAACAACCTGCAGTTGACTCTGAATGAAGCATTCTAAAATATTCTGGCCTTACAAAAAAAAGTGTGAAAAGCACCAGGATGTACTAACGGCTACCCAAATAATGTTCCAGGTGACATTCTAGGAGATACTTGGAGACCAGGAAAAGACATCACAACAAACAACTGCAGATTATTTAAACTAGGGGATAAGGCAACCAGAATCGTGACACTAAAAGGGGGGTAGATGAAGGTGGGTATGGAAAGAAGGGCTACAGGCAGGGTCTTTAGCCTTCACATTGTTTGCTTTAACAGGCTCATGGGGGTGTTTACAAAACAGTAGGCCCAGAAACTAGAGAAGAATTAAATCACATGGCCTGGTCACATGTGTCCGCTCTGAGAAAGAACAGGAATTCCTATCTCCTTTGAGGTTTTCCAAAAAGTTGGCTGTTACATAAAACCCAGCAGCCTGCCCTAATAGCCTCTTTCCCACTCCCCATCAATCACCAATAGCATGTTCTTGGGGGGGAACCCAGTCAAGATAATTTTCCCTATGTGAGCTGCAGCTCTGCATATTTTGGGTGTGGTGAGAGGCAGAGGACCTGGATTCTATTCTGGGTTGAAAAAAGACATAATTAGGAGTAAGTCTGGGCATCGGTGTAAAATGAATGGAAAATCTTGCCTCATTTTGTAACGTTCAGGCTTGAAACTTTAAGGGTGTAAAGCTACTCAACTTACACATCATGAAAGATAAGAGAGGAGGGGGGTGGGTAGGAAAGGGAAGGAAGGAAGGAGATTTAGGGACAGGATTAGGCTCTTTGAAACCAGATGGCCCAGTAGAAGCCCAGCAAACCTGGATTCTAGTTCTGTTCTGCCTCCAACTCAGTAGGTAACCCTAATGAGGGCCTTCCTCCTTAAAGGAAGGGTTTGACTTGATTTTCGAACTCCTTCAAGCTCTAGCACGCTAAGGTTCTGTTAAGCAGCCCTGTATCTCAGACTCCCTGGAAGGGTGAAGGCAGCCTTCACTCATTCATCCAAGTACTTACTTTGCACTTCATGAGAAGAGGAATGCAGAAATAAATAAACATGACCTCTATAGTTCGTCCCTGTCCTCAAGGAGCTAACAGTCTAGCAGCAGGAGAATAACATACATCAAACCCATATTTTAATGATTCTATGAATCCTTACACCCTTTCTAAAGAAGAAGTACAAACAGACATCATTAAAGAGCAAATGAACAAAGCAGAATGCGATAATATAGTGAAAAGAACAGTAATTTTAGAATTAAAGAGTTCTAGATATGAATCCCAATACGGCTATTTACTGTGTTACCTTAGGCAAGTCACTTAACTCTGACAGCCTGTTTTCTGAACTGTAAATGAGGTAAACAGTACCTACTCTCATCAGGCTATATAGGTCATGGGAGTTAATGCATGGAAAACTTTTAGAACAGTACCCAACAAGGCAAGCATTCAATATAAGTAATATAATAAATATAATTTAAGGATTCAATATAATAGCTCTTATATTTCAATAGCAGCAACGTATATAAAACAACAAGCATAGTTGCATAGTAAGCATTAAGTAAATGAGAGCTCTTATTATGGCTTCACACAATCAAAAATTAATAAAGCCACATATATAAGGGAGCAAAGACTGCAATGAAATAACCAAAATAATCAACATATTAAAGGTGGTGGGGTTATAGCAATTTCTTTATAATGTTTAATTTGTCCTTTCCAGGAAAAATAAATGATCCAAAAACCCAAACCAAGGATTTGAAGCCATTTTCAGGTATCGAGACACTCTGTGCCAGGGAGGCTTGAAAGTCAGATTCTCTTCAAAGCCTGGAAAGCAGCTGCTGGGGTGAGAGCTCAGTGCCTGACATGCAGCAGGCAGAGGGGCTGTGTGAACACAATAGTCTACCATGGGGAAAATGGTAAGTTACAATTTTGCCTGGTTAATTTACTTGTGTCTACTGTAGTATTTATTGGCATTCTACTTAATAAATAAATTGAAGCTTCCTCATTAAGGAAGGCATTTTTAATGGCTAGCTTGGCAATAAATGGCTGAAAGTTACTCAAGATTCTCAGAGCAATAGCAGGAACTCTGGTGCCACCTGGTGGCGACACATTTGGTTCGACAGTTTGCTCAACCAAGTGCCTGTACTTGATGCTGTGAAAGGCACAAAATAATGGGAAGCCGTGGCCCTAACTTCTCTTCCAGAATTTGGGGTGATGAGACATAAATGCATGAATTGGGCAGCCATGCAAAGCATCAAGCACTGCTATGGGAGTTCAGAGGAGAGATGTAGCAGTGTGGTCAGGAGCTATCAAGGGGAGACTGACTGGAAATGGCAGAGCTCTGGTTCTGAAGGAGGCTTCATTATGGCGTGTGCGCGTGCATGTGCGCGTGCGTGCGTGCGTGTGTGTGTGTGTGTGTGTGTGTAAGCCACTCATCCTTCTCTCCCTGAATCTGAAAATATGAAGCTGAAGTGAAGACTAGCCTGAAACTCACTCACTGATTCATTCAGCAAACATTTGCTGAGGAACAATCCCAGCTTCTCTGATCTGGAAGATAAGAATAACAACATCCCACTTCTCTCTCCACAAGGCTACACAGTTGAGATGATGATGTTAGATGCTAACAGTAAGAGCTAGCCCAATTTAAATGGACTGTCTTTGTTTTAGATTTCTTTCATCTCAGAAACTGTAATTCACGAAAAGTCAAAAAAGAGCTCTCAGATCACATCCTTCTCTGGGCACCAGCTCCCCTGTTAGTGTGCT